TCCTCTGCATCATTCTCAGTCATCCCTCAGGTCAGCAGAATCAGTGGCGAGCAATGAAGCCCTCACCCACCTGTTCAGCGCTGGGTGGCCACAGCCCCATCTGAGCCACTTCCCACTCCAGCATGTCTCCTGACTGCCACCTCTTCACCTTGCTAGGAGCCCTGGGCACCCTGTGAGGTCCCCGCAAAGCCCTCTTGATTGGGCTTCTCTGCACTCTCTGAACTCAGCCCTCGTTTCCAACCCTCTCCAGCCGCCTGGACCTCCTTACTGTTCCCCAACACACCAGGCCCACTCCTACCTCAGGGCCTGCGCACTTGCTGGCAGAAGGTTCTTTCCTCAGACACCTGCATAGCACAGTTTGGTCATGCCTCTGCTTCAATGTCACTGTGTCAGGGAATCCTTCAATGGCCTCCCCATCTACAATAAATAGCCCCCATCCCTAGGAAACCTCCTTAACTGGCTTTACTTTTCCATGAGTACCTCCCACCACCTGACTCTTGTCTAATATCTGTGTGTTGATCGCGTGTACCTCACACCAGAATGTCAGCTCCACAGGGCAGGGACCTGTATCACCACCCTAGAAACAGGTCTGGACCACGCTAAGCACCTGATTTATTTGTTGAATGAATGAATGAACAAATGAGAAAACTAGACCCTGGGAGTGTAAAGATGAGGGACACCATCCTGGCCAGTCCCCCGGGGGCTCGGAGTCCTCCCAAACATGCTTGTTTGGAGGATCGTCCAAGCTCCCAAGTAGCCCTGAGATCCGCTTCCGAGAAGCACTGGCGGATTTGAAACCAGATGGAGAGTCCTGTGGGCGCTCTTGCCTCACCCCACTCTGTGGAGGACCAAGGCTGGGACACTGGCCTCATGGAGAGAGGGGTCCTGGCTGGCCAGGAGTCACCGGTGATGTCAGCCTGCCACCTGGTGGTGAATCCAGTGTCATGTAGGGGCTGGGGCGAATGCTGAGGGCAGAGGGGACTGGCTGGCCCGACTTGCTTTATTTTCTGGCCTTCAGAGCTGCAGGGGTCTAGCCTGCTCTTCTCACAACAGCCCCTGAGCATACTCCTGGGACAAGTTCCGCCTTGGATCTCCTGCAGGGCAGGGCCAGTCCAGGTGTCACCACGTGTNGCTCAGGACCTGACCCTTAATAGGTGCTCACCACTGTGTGTGCACGGAGTGAGTACAGGAACGAATGCTGGATGAATGAATGAGGAAATACACAAGTGAATGTGTGAATCAATGAAAGAATGCCTCCCATGCTGTCCAGATCATCGCCTAACTTCCCTGCTCCCGGAGACGGGACCAGCACACCCCGCACTCTCCTGTACTGTATTGAAACTGGTGGTTTACATCCACCCCCCCCACCTTACTGAGGGGTCCTGTGAGAGGTCAGAGCATGGGCTTGGGAGTCTGATGCACTTCCTAGATTTGAATCCCTGCTCTGTCCCTTGCAGGCCATGGGGCCCTGAGCAAGTGGCTATACCTTTCTGAGCCTCTGCTTCCTCATCACAGTGTGGTGTGGGGATGAAATAAAGCAACGCTGGTGTGCTGTAGACGGGAATGTGAGCCCTCAAGCATCTAGTAT